TTTAAAATGTAGCCATATATAAGGTTGTGTGAGAATGTTCTGTTGATGAATCTATCAGGTGATGGTTGTAAATACTGTTCTATGATAGTAAACCATTTGGGGGTTCTGATAAATCTTGTTTGTTAGTGCGTAATGTGAATTAAATCTTTGTAAGAGAACATGTAGTTACCAACACAATTGACTAGTTGTTCGGCATAAAGAACTGAGCATTTTTTGAGGTCTAGTATGTGATTTCTGTAGATAGGCTTGATGAGGTCTGAAATCAGAGTATTACCTCCAGATACCAGATTATTTAATTTATTCGGGACACTAAAGTTGATGTTTAGATTGTCTAAGGTACTTAGTAGAGCTGGAAGCCAGTCATCTTTAGTTCTCTGAGTATTATATGGCCAACATACTAAAGGATTGGCATATAACTATTCCTTGGTTTGCAGCTGTCTAACACGAATTTTGAATGTGAGGCCTAATAAGTTGTGTTCATTGGCCGTTTGCAGAATAGTGCTGCTAAGATTTTGAATAAGTTTTTAGTGAAAAGGGGTAATGTTGTAAAAATAATGTGACAGAAAAAGCGAGGACGGTGTCTTTCGTGAAAAATGCAATTTAGATCGGAGGAATGCTACATATGAGGCTATGATTCTAACACAATGTTTTTCTGAAGGGAGTGTAAGTTGCGATTTGTATTCTATACGTAGTTAGAATGACTCTATTGAATATATATGTGAGATGAGCGTCTGTTAGTTTTTTAGATCTCATGATAGTGATTGCCGTTTTGATTTCTTCATGGATTTGATTAGTGATAAATGTTCTATTGTCTGTTAACGAAATCCAGACTCCGAGATACCTAACACTTTCATTAGGTTTTCATGCTGTGATGTGATGGGTGTCATTACGATTGTCAATGATAAAGGGTTCTGACTGAGTCTTATTTACCAGGAGTTCTGACTTGGGCCAATTAACCTGTATGTCATTAAAGGAATAGAAACTGTTAGCAATACTAATAATTGATGACAAGTCATCAGCAAACTTGGTAATCTATAGAGTATCGTCCATAAATGCTAAAGCTGGGATCGTTGCAGACATGTATTGCGTAGTGGGTAAACGAGCATCAGGTTGCCAATTGCAACTCATTTTATATCTGTGAGGTGACTCTTGGATTCTACATAATAATGGGTCATAGTAAATACACCACAAAAGGAGTGAAATGACTTCTCCTTGGTCAATGCCAGAAACGACAACATAGGGATCAGTATTGCCATGAGCAGTGAAGATTCTGTTGAGTTTGTGAATAAATAATTTCATGATAATATTGATGTATCCGAAAGGGATTTGTAGCCTTTCCATTGCTTTGACCAATGTGAAAACGTTAACACAGTCGTATGCTTTGGACATGTCTTATAGAAGGACTCAAAGTTCAGATTTATTGGTAATAGCATCATGTTTTATGTTGTCTAATATATGTATGGGGTCGAAAGTAGATTTAAAAGGCAATCCAGCAAAGTTCGATCCTTTCAAAATGTTGTGTTGTATAATTATTAATGCAAGTCTGTTATTGAGTAGTTTTACAAAAGCTTTTCTCAGACATTCCAGAAGCGTTATTAGACGAGTGTTATTAAGGTCGAATTCCCAAGATTTGGGTTTGAGAATTGGATAGACATAAGCAAAGTTCCATCTCGAGGGAATTGAAGAAATTTGAAGGCAGCCACAAATGATTAACCAGAGGTATTTTCTGCTCTGTGGACCCAAATGCTTAAGCATTTCATTAGATATAGAGGAGGGGCCTGTAGCTTTGTCGTTAGGCAGGCAGTTTATAATTCTATACTATTCGTCAGCTGATAGGAATGACATGAGCTGACTATATATTGATGGATCAATATCAGCATTTGGTTGGTATGTGGAAGTCCATTCTTCTGGGATTGTCTTATCACAGTGTGTTATTTCTGCGATTTGTTGAAAATGTCTGTTGACTTCATTTTTTACTTTGATTTCGTTGGTCAGTAAAGGCTTGTCATGTTTAGAATTGTCCAGACATTTATCAAGAGTGATAATTTTCCTTTTCCTATTCAATATAGAGTTGATTATACACGAGAGATCAGTGTTATAGTCATTTCTACAGACTTGGAATGCTTGTTGGATGCTCTTGATTTTAAACTCCTGCTCTTTAAGTTTGGCTTCAACATAAAGACCAGCTAGTAATAATTTGGTATCAGTGAAAACAGAATTGATATAAGCTAAGAAATGGTTAATGTTCACAGCTATGACGTGTAGGCTGTTAGAGTAGACAATGATGAGAAAGTCTTTGTATTTGGATGACCATTCTGAACACTTAATTGAATTTTCTAAACAAGCTCAGGTAAGTTTGCTAAATTTGTGTAAGGTCTTAATGTTCTTATAGACGGTTGAGAGACCTATAGGTCATTTTTTATGGCGGGTTGTTCTAGCTTTACTTACAGGTATAGTCGAAGTGATTTATAACGAATCTCTATTTTTGGAGATCACAATTCGTTATAATAAAAGAATTCGGTAACGTTTCACTGAATTTTTAAGTTTATTCATTTATGGTTGTATCGAATATTACCGTATATTGCGGGCTATAGTACCCGGGTCCTTTGCAAATTTTAGAGGTTTTTGGCCATACCCGGGGGTACATTACACCAGTGGATACTATACATAAGGGGTACAGAAATTGTAAAATATCCTGAGTACTTACCGTGTATAATAGCCTCTTGTCACTAACATGATTTGTTGATTATCCGTAACACATTTTACCATAATTATAAATTTCCGCATTGGAAAAGCCACATTTTTCCCATGATATGCTTCGTCTTATTCTCATAGATAGCTTGCTGTTGTTCACCTTATCAAGAAAAAATAAATATGATTTCCTTATTTTTTAAGTTTCATTATTTTACATATTTTTTTACGTGTTCTTTGTTTTACAAAATTTGTTTTATCTTTTATTTGTAATGCAAAGTATAAAATGGTAGTTATTGGAAAGAAACAAAACAAAAAATCACGCAACCGATTACCACAAAAACGACGGAGACAGTGGAATGTTAGAGAAAAACTTATGGTAGTAAATTTTTTTAAAAATAATGGAAATGTTTGTGAAACGGCAAAAAAATTCAATATTGAACCAAAACAAGTCCGTGACTGGATTAAAAAAAAGGAAAAAATGTTAGAAACGGCGCCTCATGTAGCAAAAATCCATCCAGGAAAACTTCTTAAATATCCAAACTTAGAAAGTAATCTATTTTTATGGATCACTGAAAAAAGAGCTAATGGAAATGCTGTAACTCGAAAATTAATTACTCGTAAAGCTGTTGCTTTATCTAAAGATTGGGAATTTATGTTAAACAATCCAAGTATTGCTGGATTTAAATTTTCAAGCAAATGGCTTGATGGTTTTTTGGGAAGGTATGATCTAAGTGAACGTCGCAAAATAACAGTAGCACAACGTTTACCATCTGAACTAATTGAACTTCAACAATCCTTTTTGAGTTATGTATTATATATGAGAATGCAATATAAATATCCATTGAAGTACATAGGAAATATGGATGAAACACCAATGTGGTTTGATCTACTTAGTAATACCACAATCAATATCAAGGGAGAGAAAACTGTATCAATTTGTACAACAGAGCATAAACGAACATCTTTTACAGTTATACTTGGATGTATAGCAGACGGCACAAAACTTCCTACTGTATGTATTTTTAAACTAAAAAAAATCCCAAAAGAAAAATTTCCAGATGGCATTCATGTACGCGTGAACGAGAAGGGGTGGGTAAATGAAAATGAAATGCTATGGTAGATTGAAAGAGTATGGACCTCACAAAATCCATTTGGGAATTCACGTTCTCTTTTAGTTCTTGATGCATTTCGTGATCATACTGTAGATAGTGTAAAGAATCGGTTAGTTGAAAAAAATATTAATATTGCCATAATTCCTGGTGGTTGTACTTCAAAGTTACAACCGTTAGATGTTTCGATTAATAAAAGTTTCAAGTTAAAGGTAAATTAAATTTTATTTATAATTCAATTTTATACATTTATTATAATACTTAATCTATATTATTTATACAATTTAGGTAAAAGAAAGGTATAATGAATGGATGATCTCTAATGATCATGCATTTACTGCTACGAATAAAATAAAACGACCTTCTTATTCAACTGTTGTGACTTGGATAAAAGATTCATAGAAAAAAGTTAGTGTCAATCTTATAAAAAATTCTTTTAAATACTGTGGCATTTCTACAGAACTTGACGGATCGAAAGATGATTTACTATTTGATTATGAAAATCTATTGGGTCCAGTAAATGATGATGAAGAGATAGAAGATCCTAATGATCAAAGTAGTGATGAAGAATATTCTGAAGAAGATAATTATAAAAATAATTGGGATATTGGAAAAGATGCAAATGAAATCAATAATGAAATCGATAATGAAGATAATGAAAGTTATAGTGAGGTGGAGGGAGAAGAAGCTGATGCAAAATGAAATAGACTTAATTGATTGATAAATGAAGTGAAAGTAGAGGAGAATATAGATGTAGCAGTTCAGTCATTGTTGGATTAGTGATTTTTTTTCCTTTTATTTTTTCCTTATTTTCTTTTTTTTCTTAAATTTTTTTTTTCATTTTATTCTAATAAATTGCTTATTTGCTTAAAATTGTATTATTCAAATATCAAAAATATGCAACGCTATACAATATTTAGGACGGTAATTTATTAATAAAAATAATTCTGTATCCGGGTACTATACATCATATATATTATTTCCTAGTATTATACCCCGGATACTTAACAAATTTTTGATGACCAAAATTGAAATTTTCGTGTATAGTATCCGGGTACTTTAAAATCACGTGAAAATTTTTTGAGGGGGTACTATACATAGGGGGGTACTTTGGCCCGCAATATATGGTAATAGGTGTTATCAAAATATGTAAAAGTATGTGATTTGTAATTTACGCGTGTATGTACTAACTATAATATGTCGAAACAAAACAAAGTACCGGAGGATGTTTGGGAAATACTTCAACATAAAGACTTCAGTGTGTAGGGTTATTAGAGAAAATTACAACCAAAAATTTTTGGTTGTAATTTTCTCTAACAACCCTACACACTGGCGAAAGCCAGTCTCAGAATGGAATGGTCTTATCAACATGGAACGAATATTTTCTTCAAAATAATTCAGGAATGAGAACGATTAAAGCTTCCCACGATTCACTACAAGCAGAACTAAATCTATTGATTCAAAATGGAGACAAAAGGATTAAAGAAGTGAAGAAGGTGATTTCAATTCAAGGAGAACTTAAGGTTAGTATGTGCTACATTCCGCTCCGCTGGTGTGGGGAAGAAGAGTGATCGGTCCCATGTTGCTATTCACCACCATAACGTGCACATTTTTTGCTTAACAAGTTTGTGCTACATCCTGCTCCGATGGTGTGGGAAAGAAGAGCGTCTGGTCTCCTGTTAGCTAACATTCACTGTATCATGCACATTCTGATACTAATTCTGCAATTTTTTTGAGGTCTACTGATTTTGGAGGAGAAATCAGTTATGCATCTTCCTCCTCCACCACAACGTCCTGCAGAGGTTAAACCTGTTGTTAAAAGATCCGGTTCTTTTGATCATGATTATAATGGAGAACAATATAAAGATGAACTAACTCATATAATTCTCGAACTAGGAATGTAGTTAAACAGAATGAAGAAGCCATAAAAGAACTCCGAAATGAGAATGTTTTATTAAATAATCGAATTGATGTCCTTGAAAAGACAATAAGTAGAGGTGAATACGATGATCCTGCTTCTGAGGAATCTATGAGAGAATCCAAAAAACAGAAGTTGGATGATGAGGTTAACTATGATTGGTATAAGTAAACTTTTTTATTTCTGTCTATTGAATAGACTAAAACCTTTTATGATCAATGTTTCTAGTTGGCAAAGATATCAAAATTCGACCATGCCCTAACGAATTTCTAAAACCGTGGTGGACTTGTCAACAATGAATTTTCTATTATGAATATATCTTTCAGTTTTCTTGTACGATTTTCTTATTATTTGCAATTAGTAATGTGCGTCTAATATACTAAATTTATTAATAAAATTAGAAATAAAGTTGTACTGCATAAAAAATATGTAACGCTAATACCAATAGTTTATTCAGAATATTCTTTATATTAGTTCCTTATTCAAAAATACAAAGTTTTTAAGGAACAACTGTGCTATTAGTATTTAAAGGCATTCCAAAAGGTAAAAAAAAAGAGGGAGAACATGTCCTATCTCGATCAAATTTTGGTTTTCATTCTTTGCTATCGCTGGTATGATAACTGTCAAGAATTCGGCACGTAAAGATGCTTATATATAATAAATTTTTGATGCACTGCGCCAGACTTTTGCTGTGTGACGAGATTTATGAGTAATTTCACTGCGTCTATTATACGCTCAGTGATTTCTCAAAATGCTGATATACAATAAGAAAAGTAATATGCCCATTTTATTTTAGAACATTTATAGAGGCAGAAAAATTGAGTAACATCGTGATGATATGTCTCAAGAAGTTAGCCGAACAATAAAATCAACACACCTTATTATTGTTTTATGGAATATACGAGTTCGTTTGATTTTTTGCTTATATTGATGTAAATTATGGTAAGTTTGAATGTTTCGTTATTTTTCGTTTTTTTTATTTGCACAAGGTAGATAAATGGATTCATTAACTGAGGCGGTCACCTTTTTATACAATTTACAATAGGTCTAAAATCGGCCAGGGATTTTGGAATACACCTTTAGATGATCACATTATGAATATCTGATCAATGATATAGTAGTAATCACTCCTATTCCATTAAAATGCACTACTCCTATTCTATTATATTCGCAAAAAAGGATGAATAATAGTGTATACGCGTAATATTGGATGGGCTAACGTCAACAGAGTAATACATTCATTCCGAGATCTATTTTACAAATTTAATCATCATGGTAAACGAGTGTACGACATACAAATTCAGGGACAGTTTTTTTTATAAACTGCGTAATGAAAAACATTTGGCAGAACTTTAGCCATAAGGCGCTTTGTATAATGAATATGCTATGGCTAACACATCTTTTATTAATAGATCGTAATTAAGACCCTTTCGCAGTTGATCCGCTATGATCACCGCAAAACATGAAAGTCACTGTTCAGCAATTTGCCGATCCAGATTTTCTCATATTAACATGCATACTCTCAAGCAATAAAAATTAGTATGTAAATTCCAAAAGAATCATACCAGTCACCTCCACACGAGAAAAAAATAATTGATTACATTGCTCAGGTCACTTAGCGTCCTAAACGTTTTTTATTTGCAATACATTGAGCTAAATAAATTACATGATGCGGACGGGACTAACCCTGGGTATATGATCTATTCTATGACTGTAGACTATTATACACAATCATTTTTTCAAACGATATTCCTCTATTCTAGCTTTTTTTTCTTTAAGGCAAAAAGTTCGAGACGTAGTTCATGATAATTTCGCATAATTCAGTAATTTGATGCCCAATAATTCTCCTAGGCGGTCACCGCCACTGACTGACCCAAGTCAGCGAAATTTTCTTGGCAATTTTTTTCAAGCGATACTTCTTCTATTCTAAATTAATTTGAAATTTACTAATATACTAAATATGCGAAAAAATAAAGAACAGTGAATTGATATAAGGTTATTGATTATAGATCAAATGTTTTAGATACCTAATTAACGAATTCCTTAATTTTTTGTATCCTTTCTGGAATAACGATTTCAGGTTTTTCGTCATACCATACTTCAAGGAGAGAAATTCCATTATCTTAACATATGCATCGTTTTTGCCGATCACAATTAATGATATCCTCAAGTTTTTTGACATCTTTATACCAGCTGATGCTATGAAACCGATGCTATGCCCCTTGTACCTCTAATGCAATTTGATATTTTTGGAAGAAGGCATCAAGCTCTAATCCATTCAAGAAAGGAAGGCGATATTCGATCATAGGTTTCTCATTAAGTATTTCCTTAGCTATCTGGATGCATCTAGTCTGAAATTTGTGATTTTCTTAGATTCTCTTTCCACCCAAGCCTCTCTAGTTTTATAATTCTTTCTAAGAGTTCAGCATGCTCCTGCCTCAACTTTATGCTCTTAGCCTCGAAATTCTCAGATTCCAACTGGCCTTGAGTTTGGTATTTTCAGCATCACACCTCTCATTATATTTCGCATTTGATTTTAGAGTCTTCGCATTTCTAAGCTTAAGTTCAGCTATTTCAGCATCAGACACTGAGAGCTTGAATCTAAGATTGCAGATCTCAGTATTCTCCTTCCTAAGCTCTGCATTCTCAGCCTCATATTCAGTGATACGCTATTTCAATACTTCAAGCTCGAATGACATAATCTATATATAACTAATACAATTTATATAAGCATTCAAAATAAACCTCTATCATCGCTCTAGACTGGCATTTATCAAATAGCTATGGTGTAAACGGCTTAGTCACATCAAATAAATAAGCTACCACTGAAATTTATGCCAATCATTACTATATCTAAATCACAATTTTATTGGTCAAATTCTAACACGTGATTACACGTGATCAATTATAGTCACGTGATAGTCGTTAATATCACAACATTTTGCGTTAACATTTTTTTTTCTTATCCCAATTTAACAGAATTATAATGTTAAAACCAAATAAACATACCAGACAGTCTTGGAATGCTATCAATAAACGTTGGAAGCAAGCAATAAGTTCTGAAGAGGTAGTACTTGAGATATCGGATGCTGAACCTGATAAGTTTGATGAATCATGGTTTGACACTTTTTGGATAGAAGGTGAGGAAACCCGCTTCGATAGTGATGACATTACGGATGGAATGTAAGCATCAAAACTAAATATGCTAGAATAACTAGTTGAAAATGCAAAAATGTCAAATGCATAGGCTGTAAATTTACGTAGGCCAGTGTACAATAGTGCTGTATAATCAACATTGCGTAACAAAAAGGCATATTGGTGAAAAATAGCTTCAGGTTCTAAGAAAATCACGGAAATGTTTCTAACGAATGAAGCTGCTGAGCCTAATACAGACCTCACGTTTGAGAATATGTATGACAGCAGCGATGATGATGATTACGAATTCACTTTAGAATTTCTGGATTTGATATTAAAAAAAAGGAAAGATGATTTGCGGCTTCAGATGGTAAGTCAATTTCTTTATCTAATCCAGGACCAAGGATTTACCAAGATGGATGCAAGTAATCTTCTTGCCTAGAGTTTGAACAAAGGTCCATGGCAAGCACAGCTTATCTGCTCCTGAGTGAACCAATGGCTTAACAATGGTATGATTGTTACATCTAAACGTAGTCGTCATGCAAAATCAGGTCTTTTCTTCTTTATAAAGACGTCAAATTGCAAGTTACTGAATATTTACGTGCATATAAGTTCAAGTTAAATGTTGTCAATTTCGTAAAATTTATTGAGGATGAGGTTATTCCTACCCTTAGAATAGAAGAAAAGATAAGTATCTCATGTTCAACTGCACGTAAATGGCTACATACACTCCCCTGAAGAAAGTATCCGGACACGGCTTTTTGCGAATTGTAGCTTAATTATATTATGTTTTTAAATAAA